TTATTCATAACCGGGACACAGTTACTGTTGATTTGTCCATATTTCTTTTTATGAAATTTCCCAGATTGGGATTAATAAAGTATTTCTATCTATCTATTATTTATAATAAGTGGAGTGCTGGGTGCAGGAGGGTAGTGCCACAAGATGCAAATATTTAACGTGACAGTTCACTCTTGAGATTGGAAACGGCAGCTGACAAAACAATCTCTCAACAGTTCACTCATCAGAGTTCTCGCTGTGTAATTTGGTCCAAAGATTCAACTGCTGTCACGAAGGTCAAAGCTGAACTGTCAGTCTCAGCTTTTAGATCAACAGAAAGAGCATTTCCATCATTAGAAATAGTAAAAACTGTAGAAATATTGCAATATGCTCGGCTGAGGTGGAAAATTGATGCATCAATAAAAACAAACTGTGTCAAAGTGTAAAAACAGACCGAGATTTAATGACGCTGTGTGTGTGTGTGTGTGTGTGTGTGTGTGTGTGTGTGATGTGTGTGTGTGTGTGTGTGTGTGTGATGTGTTGGGTTGAATTTGCTGGATGTAATTTGCCGATATATTTATGTAAATTATTATTTGTTATGTAAATTGCTCTCAGTGTGACTCCCCTGTTTGTGGACTCTCTGTTTAAACGCCTGTGTTGTGTTTTACGCTTCGACAGTTGGCCTCGTCACACTGTTGACAGTGGTGAACCAGTCTATAGTCATGTTTGTCTAAAGGGTGCATTGACCTGTCTGATGTACTCAGCCTCATGTACTTGTACTTCTTTTAGTCATTTACTACAGTAAATATCCTACAGTGTGTCTTAGTATCCTCCAGAGAATTTGTCTTGTCTCCGGCTGGTGGTTTCACGTGTACTTTGAGATCGAAATATGAGAAGAGAACAAGATTTAGTCCACATATGTCTTGTATGTCACATTGAGGCTATTGGTGTTGGAGGAACTGGCATCTGCACTTTGTTCTCAATCTGCAGTTTCAATGACTTTGTGGAGGGTAAACGTAATGGTCAGAACTTCCAGAGGACGGAAAGTAGAGCAGATTTTCTTCCTCTCTTTCTACTTTCTTTCTCTCAGGAACTTGAACCTGCTGTCTACATTTTACAGTGTAATGAACCAAGGCAGTAAACGAGATGCGAGTGTGTCAGAGTCAGGACTGGATAATGAGGGGATGAGTGACGTGTAAAACAGAGACATAGGGAACCTCTGGAGACAACTAGAGACTGTAATGGGAGACACAGGGTGCATCCCAAGTCTCTTACATGCATCCTTGTTTCCTTGCATCTTAGTTTCACCCATATAAGATGCAAGGGAATCGAGGAAACATGTTATTGAAGACACGAGCCATCCTTTTCTCAGATCCCAAATGTACCCATAGTCCAATAACAGTCCAGAGGTAATAGGGCCAGAAGAACATGGAACAGAGGCAGGAGCAGGACTGGAGCTGGGACATATCTTGAGAATGCGTTATTACGTATTACTGAGCAGGTACAGTAAGAGGGCAGCACAGCATTCCTCCTGCTGTCACTTTTGTCTTTATCAGTTCACAGATGATCAAACCTCTCTTCCCCAATACCAATGCACTCATTGCAACATGCCAGGTACTCGGGTACATTACTGTCAAGTAAACATAGATTAGAATTATGGATATTTTGTCACAAGCGCACAGGTGTGTGTGAAACATCATGATCAACATCAGTTCTTACTAATGGCATCAGCCACGAGCATCATGTGTGCATTTCTCAGTTTATAGAGAACTCAGTTGCTTATTAAAGCTTGTTGGCAGTTTGCTTGATGGCCTTGGACACCAGGTGTGTTTAATTTATTCTCCTGTGCATCCCTGGGAGTGTTTTTATTCTTCCCCTAAGTGTGCTCCTGGCATTATTAAAGGCATTAATCACCGAGATCTGATGCCTTGTTACAGCAGAAGTCCTGCTCCCACACTGCAGCCCCACACACAAACACTCAGTGGGGTGATCTGGTGTCAACAATGCCACAAATATCTTGACTCGAAAATACTGTAAATTGGAGGTCCTCCTGAAGGACAATATAAAATTCCAGTTTGAAAAGATGGAAGACATTGAAACAGGCTTGGGTGTATGTGAGGGAGGTGCATCAATATTTTACTCTTTTTAAATTTTTTATTATTTAATGAGATTAAAGTCTAGACAAAAAGCCAAGGGGATATTTTATTAGGAAAGCTGTTCACTCTTTGATCTGTTTTGTACTTTCTCCAATACCAAATGTGTTCGTCCTCGTTTGCGTGTCCTTGAGCAACACATGAGGCCACGATGATGTGTGGCATTTGGTGAATGTTTGGTCTAAAATGTTATAAATATGTACATTTGCACCCAGCTAATAGTATCAGGTACACCTAGCTAAAATAAATACAACCTTTTCATGCAATAAATTCTACCTTCATAAACGTTACCGTGTTCAGTTTTTAGCTTCAAGCCTACATTCACTGATGTAAATGAGGTGGACAAAATAATAGAAGCCCCTGTTCCAATATGATGCCATACAGTTCAGCATCACCACAAACTCCTGCCCCCAAAATCTCTGTTTCAGCAGAAACTGGACCATATCACCTTCATGAAGGGACAGTTTATTGCAGGATTATTAAACTGTATTAGCTTTATCCTTGTGTACCTAATAATACGCTACCAGATGTATGTAAATGGATTAAGACCTGTAATACATCATAGGCTGGCAAGCACTGTAGTGTACAGTTCACAAGACTCAGTCTTACAGTTGGTTTTTTTGGAATTTTTTTTTTTTTTTCCCCACTGACAGCTGTGAGAGTGAGCCAGAACAGTAACGCTGCAGGCTCTGAAACCAAAACGCTGAAGTGAAAGATGCTAAGATAGTCAGTAGAGCTCAGAGGAGCCACAGAGCTGGCGGATAATGATCTGTGAGTTCATCATTACCACAGCCCCTTTCACATTAGTCACTTCGATCCATTGAGAAGCTTTAAAGAAAGAAGTTCTATGCGTAGTGGCATCCTTTTCTACTTCTACTTCCCATTCCTGGTTGGTCTTATTTTTAGGACAAGGTTTTGACAGTCTAATGTACCCATCATCCATCTGACAAAGGTATGACTTTTGCAACATGTCATTAGCTTATTAGTCGATCATTTACCATCCACTGAAGTGAAGGACTAATGGTCTGAGTCGGTGCAACAATACCTGAAGATTCTAGTGTGGGGCTAAGAGGCCTTTCATGACTCATCCTAAGTTTTTGATTTTTACTGGACATTGCCATGGTAAATTCAAAGTAAATACTCTTAATCCAAAGTAAATTCATTTATGCATGTTTGTGTCTGATACTGAAAATGTAATATGGGCAGACACCATCATGACGTTTTGACATTCTCACCCAGAATGGTTTTGGTACTGCCGACCCCCGCCCCCCCCCCCCTTCAGTTGTCTCTCTTTCTAGTCCAGCTCATAGCCACCTCCTCCTGCCTCTGACTATTGAAAGAAAAGCTGTGGAGTGTTTTGACAAGTAGCCTCTTGAGCTTTTATTCATCACAAATCTTCTTCTCTTTCTGCCCCTGTTTCTCACACCCTGCTGAGTGGTCGATCCCTTGGGGACAGAGCTGCCAGCCTGTTGACATAGTGTAAGCTACTGTACCACCTGTGTGTACTATATTACTGCTCTGAAGATAAGCGGAGTGGATGGATGAGAACTGCATGCATGCACACATGACCCAGTAGTTTGCAAGACTCGGTCTTAAAATAAGAGAGATTAATGTCTAGAGGATAATAGTGTTGTAGATCTAGGTTTAAATGGTGCGATTGTGAAAGTTACATACATTTTTAATGATAAAACTTTATCAAGCAGACTCACATTGTAAGTTTTCTAGTGCATTATGAGACTTGCAAGCACAAACCAGCTTTTGGTTGTGTAACCTAACAAAACTTTGAATATTTAATTATGTGTATAGGGAGTGATAACGGCCCTGTGGAATTAAACAACATATTTCAACAAGGAAAATGTCTGGTGTACCGTGTCTTAGTGGGGTAATGTATTCACAGTGGAAGGCAGGATCAGAGGAGGTATTTGCCCTGCATTTGTTGGTGTGAACTTGTTTCCTCACTCATCATCTGTGGCTGTGTTGTTGATAAAGCTGCTCCAGTGTTTCTGATGGGACTCAGTCAGTGTCACAAGAGTGCTCCTGTTCTCCATCAGTAGTCGGGAATGCAAAGGCCACATACGTGTGGACTTAACAGAGAAACTGAAGCAGACATAGCATCACTCTCACTCTCGTCAGTGGACTGCAGCAGTTCCAGTCTAGCTGCCGAAGCCCCGGCAGCAGCGTGAAACAGTCCAGCGTGTCTTGCACCAAATCCCATTCTATCTTAGCTGCTGGAGCCAAAAATGGAAGTACTTCATGTTTACAGTCAACAAAATCAGACGCCTAAGAGACATGACAGCCCCTCGGACTATAGCTGCTGTGAAGCCGTCCAGTCAGCTGTGCTAACACGAGGCCTTAGACAGGGAAGCTGAATTCAGCAGGTAGTTATTCAAAGAGAAAATGTGGTGCTGGACTTACAGTATTTGGCCAGTTGGAGGTGACTCCAGATAAACCTTGCTGACATCACTCAAAAGTCATGTTGCATATTTATGAGAAACCCACTTTTGTAGGACATTGTTACCTAGTTTTATTCAGGTCCCAGATACATCATCACCCAGTTCTAAGCAGGTGCCACATCCAGGTATATTTGCTCTTTTGCTTTTGTTTTATAGTTGAATATTTATGAAGTTATTTATGGCAACACCAGGCCCCTGTATCCGCTGGTGGTTTCAAGTTGAATAGATTTTGCCTCAAAACACCCTGGACAGGTCTTTCCAGCATATCACTAAATTATTACTTTAAGTTTAAACCTTTTTCCAGTTGGAGTAGTTTGACTGTGGTGCATCTTATAATTTTATCTTACTAAGTGTAAGTGACATTCCAGAGGAGTCAGTCGGGTAAAGAATCTCTGTAATTTTACTCAAATTACAGATGGAAAATGTCAATGTAGCTGTGAGCAAAACTGCTGTATGTAAAAATACTCAGCGTGTGTTGAAAGTGATGTTTTTTCTCGTGTGGGGTGAAGGGTCTCTCTCAAGGATTGGTGAAGAAAATGTAAAAATCTGTTTCAGCAAATAGAAAACTCTCATAACGTGGTGTCATCTTTTTTCTTTTATTTTTTCTCAGGTGTTCCGTAGAAAGGCGGTGGAGCTGGGAGAAAAGCTGCTGCCGGCCTTCAAAACTCCCACAGGCATCCCGTGGGCTCTGCTTAACCTCAAGAGGTAGAAAGCACACACTCGCTTTTTCTCACACAGCAGTCCACTCTGGTGGTATTTGAGGCAGCAGGTCTGTTTTGTTAGTGTGATTCTTTAAAGAGCTCTGAGGTCTGAGACGCTATGTGAGCTCACAGAGCTGAGGAGGTTTAGTTTTACATGACAGAGCAGGTTTGTCAGAGAGAACTTGTTTGGGTTTTCATTCAGTGCCAGCTGCTTCCTGTGAAACTAAACCACATTCACAAGACAAACCAGAAGTTTGACAGCTTTACAAACTTGTACACAGACACAACCGAGAAATACTGAAAAGCCTGTTTCTCCTTTTGTTGAAACTCTTCCTCCACTGATGTGTTAGATATGATGCAACTTGACTGATTACGTTAGACTTGACCCACACTACAGTGCATGCAGACCTTTCTTCTGAGTGGTGGTACATACCGATTAAGTGAGTTTCATGAACACATAGCACATGTAAGGACGTGAACCGCTTAAGTGAGTTTCATGAACACATAGCACGTGAGTAAGGACTTGAACCCTTGAGTGAGGAAAAACTCAGACTACTGCCATTGTCCACACTGGTAGTATAAAATTACTTTGCTGCACATTATCATGAGTTTATTAACCCTAACTAAAGTCCTTTTCAGACATACACTGCAACGCTGAACTTATCTATACATTACCCAGAGGAGCTGTATGTGAGAACACACATGTCCAAATCAGTTGGACCGGACATTGATCAGACTTGAATCTGCCAGTCAGATTGAGCCCATGTGTGAATAGAGCAGTGGTGGGCGTGTTGTCGACATTTCTACCATGTGACTGGCATAAAACTGGAAAAACACAAACCTCCAAGAGTGAAGAAGAAAGGCCATTGGCACAAAGACTCCAGATGACGAGATTCAGGAACTTCTGACACCAATATTTTTTTACTCAGTGTTTTTTCTCTTTCCCCAGAGAGAGACTCAGCTCTTCTGTTTGTAAACTGTTAATTAAAAAGCAGGTTGTCATTGCAATAAACCTGCTGTAACAAACTAATCTTCTGTCTCTATGGGTGACTGGACTCACATGTACGTGTGAGTGCATGCGTTTTCCCCTGGAGGCCCGAACAGATTGCCGATGATGGCTTTACCTGCATGACTGACCTATAGAAGCTTGGAAGCTCACATGCCCACATCCTGCAAATGCATTCAGTGTTCTGTCTCTTTTACCCTGTTGCTTAATTCCCCTTTATTATTTTTCTTTAAAGTTTTTTTTCCCACATCCTACTTTTGTTTTCCTGTTCTCTAGTTTTTCGTCACTCTGCTCTGTCTCTGTCTGCAGAGCCCAAGAGCAGCACAAGAAATAAGGTCACCGTTTAGAACACGTTATTGCTTCTACACACAGTAAACCTGGCTGCTCTGTTAATTTTAAAGAACAAGATGTCTATGGATTTGCAATTTGTCCAGACAAAACAAATTTTTTGTTAAATTCTAAAGATGAAAACCTCCTATGGGCTGCAGTGCACATTAACAGGGACTTGTGTACCGACTGCCTCAAGAGATTTTGAGGCAGGTGGCTTCACTACAGACCTTTTTGTGAGTGTTATGGAAACAAAACACCCCATGTGTTTGTCACCATACCAAATCTAGTCCTTTGCCTGGTCATTAGAGCTTGAAAGAGTAACTAAACACCGGGCTGAAGGGCAGTGTTTTGCTCCTCTGAGCCTGTTTCACCTCTGACCACAACCAGAATGACAGTGTATACCTGTACATCACTAATGTGAGAAACCTTGTCAGCTAAAACAGCATTTATTACCGTTTAAGCAATTGTTAAAAGACACAAAAATACTGAATAAAGGTTCCAGTATTTTTACCACTTTTATTTGCTGTTGTCATTATCTTAAACACTGACTCTCTCTGTGTCACAAGGGTTCACACTGGCCTGAGGATTCCTGGAAAATACTGGAATCGCAAAACGGTGCAAGTTTGTAGAAATGTCTGGGAATCCTCTAAACCCAGACTGCTCATCCAGTCATGATAGGAATTCAAAAGAAACTATCATAGACTTATTTATCAGGATGGCCAGTGTGAAGTCTGGTCTTGCTGGTGACACGTGTGAGATCCAGTAAATCGGGGGTACAGTACCTCTTAAGGGATCTGAGTCTGGCCCTGCACTCACAGATTCCTCCGCTTCATTTCCCCTGTCTCTCTTTCTCTTTACCCCCGTCTGTGTTTAAACCTATTGATTGCCACTAACTGAGCGGAAAATGCTGCTAAGATCGGATTTATTTGTCAAATTGATTTGCCACAGTTTCTGACCCCAGCAGAGCAAATCTGGTGACACTGCAGCCAGATGTGTGGAAGAACATTTGTCCCTGAATGTCGCTTTGGCTATCATTGAATATCTGAGATGATTGAAATGTTGCTTCTATTGATGTTTTCTGTTGAATGAACAGTAGTAGAGAAAATGCTGTTTGAGTTTTCTGTTGTCTCTTTTATCCTTTAATAGCTTATTTATTGACAGGTGTCAATAAATGTTTCAGATGAAATCATTAGCATTGGACAAAGTTCTGAGCGTTGCTGATCAGTTTTAAGTTTACTTTATTGGCTTTAAATTGAAAACCAGACATTAACAGACTGAACCACCAGCTTCCGGGAATTAAATGCTACAGTGATTTGTTTTTAAGGGAAAGCCTCAAGCTGCTGATTTGTTTCTTTCAGTAATGCTAGTTGCCTCCTAGTCATTATGCAGTGATGAATAATGCCACTTTTAGACAAAGAACAGGTTTTAAGAAAATAAAGCAACAATTTGAAGCCTTTTCTTACGTAAAGCAGAACATTTTCCAGTTGCAGTGAAAATAAAAACATTCCTGACCTCATGTAATTGCTCCAACTTAATGTAGAAAGTCATGGAAACATGGACACAGTATGTCTGTATCCATACGCCGTTTGGCTTCCCACAGTATAAAGTTGCTGTGCTGTCACAGAGCCGTAGCAGCGCACAACCAACTGCTTCTCTTTTTCCCTCACACTTTCTTTCTCTCTCACAGTTTCACACAGACACAGTAGTTACCCAGTCGTTATCTGCTTCACCCAGTATGTCTCATAGCTCTTCCATTAACATTCAGACTGATAAAGCTCTTGCAAATCAATCCCTCTGCTCCGCATACTGACTGGCCTTAATGGGATGAGGCATTGTGAGACTGTGTGTGTGTGCGTTGGCTTGTGTTCAGGTGTCTGGA